AATTAAGGTCGGCTTTCCGATCTCATTTTATCGGGGCTCAAGTATGCCTTATCCCGAAAGAGTCTCTTGCCAATATCACTCAAAAAGATGATGAAAGCGTTAAAGATTATATTGCCCGTTTCAATGACCGAGTTCAGAATATGGAACCTTGTCATCCCGAAACTTTGCTTGTTATGGCTATTGCTGGATTGAAGCCGAATTCGATTTTCCGCTGGACGCTATGCCAAAATAAACCGAATACTTTTCAAGAATTTCTCGCTCGAGCCCAGCAGCATATCATAGCGGAAGAAGCCATGTCGGTTCCCGATTTCAACTTTAACCCGAAGTCTTCTAAGGCGGGAACCGACGAAAAAAGGAAGAATAAATTTTTCGACAAGCAAAATAAGACTCAATTCAGGGGGCCTTCCCGAGGAGACCCCAACGATCCTGAAGTCCGAGCGGCCCGAAAACAGTACGCGACCGACGTGAAGTCCGGTTATCAAACTGTGTACTCGGCGGGAGCAGCTACTATTTATGAAGAAATCAAAGGGAAGGGCATTTTGCTAGATCCCAAGCCACTTCGGATGCCTGAAGAAAAACTGGACAAGTCCCGATATTGCGATTATCATAAGTCGCCCGGGCACAACACGGACGAGTGTTTGAGTTTGTTGGCCGCATTGTTGCGTTTAATCGGCCATCCGCAGCTTAGGAAATTTTATCGTAATACTGATTCCCAGAGGCGAGGTCCTGGACGTCAGATCGAATCCTTCGATGATGAAGACGACGAGGAAGACCGAGGTGCTATGACGAAACGCATCCGACAGGGAGATAAGGAAGTATTCATGTTTACCTCGGAGACTTCCGATTCTAACCCTGCTGAAATTTCCCGAGGACGTAAACGAGATAGGTCTCCTGAACCAATGCAAATCACTGTCCACCGGGTCAATACCAACAACTCCCGGATACATTGTCCCGTCGACAAGTCAAGGCATATGCCCGACAAGCGCACAACTCCGGCAAACAGGTCTACACTACCGATTTGAGAGATGTTCTCAACAATCGGAATTGCCCTATAACCTTCAATATGGAGGACGCGAATCATTTCGCTCATCCTCATTCCGACGCCCTGGTCATTACCGTTCCAATATGCGGTATTCCGGTTCATCGTGTCATGGTGGACACTGGGGCCTATTCAAGTATTTTGATGCTGAAAGCTTTTGACAAGATGGGTCTAGACCCCGCCGAAATCCGACCTTGCAACGATCAAATCCAGGGGTTTAATGGCAGTATTTCAAAACCTATCGGAGAAATCACTTTGCCTGTCAGATTTGGCACCTCGGAGAATGTCACCAAACTCGTCATGGAGACTTTTAAGGTTATGGATATTAATAACGAGTACAACGCCATCATCGGCAGAACGGCATTGTACAAACTTCGGGCTGCAGTCTCTATCTTTCACTACGCGTTAAAATTCCCGACAACCCGGGGAGAAGGAACCCACTTCGGAGATCAGAGAGAAGCTCGACAACTTGTTACGTTCGTCCCATCTAATGGAGTTCACTCAGCTTCAACGAGTAACAATGAAGCCTCCCCACAGCATCACTCTCCGGACGATGCGATGACCGAAGAACCAAGCAGCCACGTCGGCGAGCCTTCCACCTCGGATCCTTTAACCGAAGACCGAGGTCGCCGACCTGGAAAAGAGCCACTCCTTGAAGAAGACGAGTTGGATCCCAGAGCATTGTTTCAAGAAAAAAGTCGACCTGATCGAGCCGAACCTGGAGAAGACGTGGAGTTGGTCTATATCGATGAACCAGTCTTCCACAAGTCATTGCGCATCGGAAGTCATCTTCAGGAAC